ACTCACCGCAGAAAATTTTTCAAAAATTTTCTGGGTTCTACTTTCTATTTTTCTTCCTAATCCATCAAACACATCCCACCCCAGTGTCCCCCACACAGAGCTCTCTGGCCTCTGAATTCACAGTAACCCTTGAGTCATGTGGGTGATCAAGATGGACTGACTCAGGAAATATGAAATTCCCAAACCACTGTTCGTCACTGGTGAATGCTGAACGGCACACTCCCCCTCTGGATAACCTTCCCACGACTTGCACTTTGTCACCTTGACCTATATACACCAAATGCTGACATAACTGCCACTGGGCAGAGCCTGGTCTATGCACATTGGCCTCCAGTCAATATTTGGGACAAGGAATTTCCACTTTCAGCTTTTGGCACGAGTACTGCATGTGCACCATGACCGGGGTTGATAAGAGAAACTGCTCCTTGACCATGCTCTGAGACTCAGAGACACAGTCTCAATGGAGAGGGGTCATATTTAGAAGCTATGAAGACTTGTCTGACACAGTTCTTCAGACCCTTCAGTTAACTGCGTAAGATTTCAGATTGACCTATTATTAAGCTGGGCAGAGAAAAATGGGCCAGTGGGGAAGTTCCCTGAAGAAGAAGTGCGATTAAACAAACGAGTGACCATTGTAAGCTTTAGAGGGAGGTAGGATTTTGTTAGAATCTTGAGTCTACTAGTTGTCAATTTTGTGTCTTCAGACAAGTTGCTTCACTCTACACTGCTTGGTAGTTCAAAAGTATTAAATAGTATAAAATATGTAACATGTCTAGTGTAAGCTCAAAAACATAACTTCCATCCAGGAGGATTTCAAACCACCCTTGGCAGCAGAATCCCAAAAAGGAAAAGGCAATTACTGCTAGCCTCCCTCCGAAGGCCTGGGCTGTAGAGCTCACACAACGTTCTTTTCCCAGCATTATATTAAATAAAGCAAATCACAGGCAGGCCTGGATTCAGGGGGGTGGGAAATAGACCGTTTCCTGATGGGAGTGGCTGCAAAATATTATGAGTAACTCAGCCAGCCACAAGCCAGGGCCAATTACGTGCATTACCCATGTATTTCTCCCTAAAACACCCTCCAACTAACATCCATTTTATAGACATGAAAGACAAGCCTCAAAGACATTAAGGAACTTACCTGAGGTTAAGCAAGTGGTTAGTAGCATGACTGGCTTTTAAGTCAGGTTATCTGATTCCAAAACCAAGCATTAGTACCTCAAATATTTATTTTGAAGGCCATTCATGAGAGATGCTCCCATTTTTACAGAAAGGAACGAACAAGGATATGTCACCTGATCATCTCATTTATTTTTTAAGCCTATTCCAAAGAAGACATCTTGAGTGTATAAACTCTCTATTTAGGTTTAAGGTGCTCCAGGTCTGTTCTCACAATCACAGACCTCAGAGCCCTCTAGCTGAACACAAACGACACTGACATGTGGGTTCTACACCCAGAGACTCTCATTAAACCAGCCTGTGATAGTGGTCTGGGCAATGGGATTTTTAAAAGCTCCTGGGTCATTCTAATGTGCCGCCAAGTATATGCACCTCTGGCTTGGACAGTTCCTTTCCATTGAGGCAGTCAGAAGAGGTCACAGCTGTTGGGCCAGCTGCTTGTCACCTGGCCAGCAGATCTGGCCCTGCTGAATAGAAGTGAGGCTCCATCATGAGCAACCGGAGTCAGATGTGCCCCCAAGTACATGTTTGCATGTACTAGTCATTGTGAAAGAAAAGACTTTGTACTGTGGAGCTTTTAGTTTAGCTAAAGAAAGAAGATACCTGGGCAAATATTATTTATAATAGCAAAAACTCAGAGATACCCCAAATATTCGGTAGCAGGAAAATCCTTATGCAAATCATAGTGTACTCACTCTAGAACACAATGGATTAATTAAATTTATGATTACTTGAACCAAGCAATAGCATGGAAAATAGTTGTGTTTAATACTATATTAAAAAAATAAGGATAGTGAATTATATATACTACATAATTCTAAAAATATTTTACAAAGGAAGGAACATTCATTTAGACAGGTGGACAAAAAATTTTTCAACATTATAATTCTTTATGACACGCTTAGGATAGTGAGTTCACAGATGCCTTCTCTTTCTAACTCTCCAATTGTCACTAAACTTTGTTATCTTTGAGCCTATCTATCTACTTCTACTTATTCACTTCAAAATATTAAAAAAGGTTGTTCATACTTTGACATGTTAGTGACTTTCGTATCTTTAGACTTAAGAGAAGAAAATCTATGAAGGCAATAGAGACACTTCACACAATATTTATTCCTACAGATCACAGCGCACAGGCTGACCATGGTGAAGAAAAGATTCTTTAGAGTCTCCCTAGTTGTAACTCTCAATCTGTGTCCCACATTATGAAGCCACCCAGACAAAGAGGAGTCCATTAGTGTCCCCAGAAATTTTTAATAGTTTCACAACTACCCCCAAAGAATAAACAGTAGGAGGATGGCCAGGTGGGAACCACGTCCCACAAATCACTTTTCAATATCCTCTTAACATCGCCAAAGGAATGGGTGTATTCCTCTCAGTAACCATGGCAAGAATCAAAAAGATTTTCCAAAATGGATGGAGAATGCTCACTTACACGTGTCCCTGTTTGTGGTGTTCCAAAATGCCGTTTAAGTCCCTTTATGGAGCACGTTTAAAAAAAAAAATCCACAACTAGAACTGACAATGATAATTTCAGTATCAAAACCAGTTTTTGGTGACCTGGGAAGAGTGCACGAAAATGTCATAATATCATTGCATCTTGGCTTTACTACCAGGGTTGAACTCACGTAGAGAAGGAACTAAGCCAAACTAAAGATGCGCTGCTGTGATGGTTCATTTTATGTGTCCACTGGATTGGGCTAAGCGGTGCCCAGAGAGCTGGTAAAAGTTTATTTCGGGGTGTCTGTTAGGCTGCTTCTGGAAGAGATTACCATTTGAATCGGCAGACAGTAAAGAAGGTTGCTCTCATCACCCAGTCCCTTGAGGGTCCAAACAGAACAAAAATTTGGAGGGAGGACAAGTTCTCTCTCTCTCCTTGAACTGAGACATCCATCTTCTCCTCCTGCCCTTGAACATCAGAGCTTCTGGTACTTGGCCTTCAGACTCCAGGACTTAATTCAATGACTCCTCAGGTCCTCAGGCCTTTGACTTCAGACTGGGTCTTATACGATCGTCTCCCCTGGCTTTCTGTACTTCAGACTCAGACTGAATTATACCATTAACTTTCCTGGTTCTCCAGCTTGCAATGGCATATTGTGAGACTTCTCAGCCTTTGTAATCACATTAACCAATTCCTATAATAAATCTCCTTTTATATAATCTATATATTTACATATCTATATCTATGTCTAGATAGATAGATAGATGATAGATAGAGAGCTGATAGGTAAGATAGATAAGATAGATATCCTATTGGTTATGTTTCTCTGGAGAACCCTGACTAATAAATTGCCTGCATGTATGTGTAGTTTTCCATGCTCAATTACAAAGTTAAGAAGTAGAAAATAATAAAGAAAAACAAATTAGAAAATCTGAAAAAAGTAAACAAATAATTCTTTAATGTTACCCTTATCACTTAGAACAAAAGAATTAGTTACATGTTTATAACTCAGTACATAAAATGATTCAAAACATTCATAGACTCATATTCTATCCCAGGCCACGTGTGATGAGGGAAGACCAATAACCAAGGAACTTACTGAATATGTAAATACTGAATTACATGGAGGGGACCGAAAGCAAAAGCTGAAGTCGGTGCAGGCTGGAAGGAACAGTCAGAAACCAAACCCTCTTTCAAGCCCTCATCTGTGTAAAATCTTCCTGTTCTGTTCTGTAGAACTCAAAGCTCAGAGTTGTCCAGCTTTTGTTCCCAACTGCTACCCTAAGGCCTGCCTTCTGCTCTGTCACCAACACTACTGGAGGAATCGTTAAACTGACATTTGATTGATTACAGAAGTATAGGAACAATAAGTAATTTTAAAATTCTGTTCCTAGATTGCAGCGGGGATTAAATTAAAGATTTTTCTAGTTGAACTCTGTAGTACAGCTGTAGCAAAATTATGAATAAAAGTAATAGCTAACATTGATACCTTACGCATGCCAGTCGCTGTCTTAAATACTTCATATTAGTTCAACTATAACAACTATCACTTGATGTTGATACCATTATTATCTCCATCTTATAAATGAGAAGACTGAGATTTGTGATAATTAAACAACCTGCTGAGGATCACAGTGAGATATGGGACATGAAAGGATTGAAACCCAGGCAGTCTAACCTAGAACCTGCATGCAAAACTGGAAAATGCAGAACATTATAGGAGCCTACAAAGCTAAGTTGGGGGCTGGACTTTACAAATTCTTCTCTGTGTGTACACAAGAGGGACGTGTGTGTGTTGAAATGTTTACGGATGGGGCAAACAGCAGGAAAGACAGGGCAAGTAGCATCCTACCCCACTGTCTGGCCGTAGGGAAAGGCTTTGACCTTGGGAAATGGACATGGTCTTGGTGTGAAAGAAACGCCAAACACTAAGGCTAAACTCAAGTCTAAGCTCCGTGTCTAGAACAAACTCTCAGCTGTCAAAAATAGTCTCCACATTTGCAGAAAGTTCTCCAAAATCTGTCAGGATGAACAATAATAAAAGATTGGGTCCACAAATGAGTTTGTCATTAATTTTGGCAGTACCAGAAAATGTACAACCAAAAATGGGATTGATGTGCTGAGCGAAACAGTAATGCTAAAAGAGATTTAAAAACAAGGAAGCGGTAACGTTAATATTGCTACATATTAAATATTTGAATGTTGTTTAAACATCAATTCCTAAAGACCCGGACAATGATTATGAGTAGATATACTCAAATAGGAACGAGCAATCTTGCTATTTTTTATAGTCATGTATTCAGTCAGTTTGTTACTATGGAATCACATATGATGTCATAAATTTGACATTCCACACAAGCCTAGACTGAGCAGCAGAAGGAACAAGAAATGGAGCTGGGGAGATGAACACCTGGGTAACAGCCAAATAATTTTGTTAGTTAAAGAAATGAGTCAAACATCTCTGAAACAGAAAAGGAAGGTGAGTGAATTAAACATCCTAGAATCTTGCCAAAGAGCCAAGGAAAAGTAGATATCAGTCCATAACTTACCTCTGGGACTTCTCTGAAATAATCGAACCATTTTAGATGATGATGACACGTAGAGAAGATGGAGGGGCAAGGAAAGGAAGTGGTGAGAGGGAGAAAGGGCAGTTAACGTATAGAGTATAAGTCAATCTGATAAATCAGCATTTATTGAGTTTATGCTCATGTGTTAGTTGTAAGAGGTGAAAACACAGTTGCTATCTCTGAAGAATGCACAGCCTAGTAGGAAACAGGCCACATAAAGTACAATGCAGTGATCTGTAAAAGTGTGTACAAATGACACGGGCAACCTAGAGAAATGTTTAAGTCTGGGAACTTCTCCCAGGTCACACTGAGCTGGGTTCGAAGATATTACAGGGAAGAGGAGACCACAAGTAAATAGGGTGGTATGTAGGCCAACACAAGTCATTCGGCAAAGAACACAGGGATGAAGTGGAGGGGTGCAAGTCGGAGGTAGACAGGGTACATCAGCAGGCTCCTGGTCTGTCTATCCACACGAACAAAGAATGTATCCAGAAATGAAGCACAGTTATAGTTATGCTTTAGAATGTCACCCTAAGTAAGTGGGGTGGATGGATCTAGAAGTTGGGAAGATTTGAGACCGTGAAACCTGATTAAAAGGCTATATTCTAAGAATGTAGGCCCACGGCGATCTGAGGCCTGGAACAAGGCAATGATAACAGGGATGGAGAAAATATGTCTTGGAGTTACAAGTGACGATTTTACGGTGGTGGTGTGGGATTAATGGAAAATTTGTAGGATTAGTGCGAGGATCGCACAGCTATGCCATTCTCCGCTGTCACAGACTTGATCATTCAACTAACATTGATCAGATTTTTCCTGAGTATGAGGCACAGAGCATACAGAAATGACTAGGCTGCCCCCTTGTACCTTGGTCTTAGCTAGAAGCTGAGCTCCTTAAAAGATAAATAACACTAATCTTGATCACATCACAGCTACTGAATTAGCATGAAGTGATACAAAGAGTGACCCAACACAATAGTATTTCTCTCAATTGAAAATGAAAACAAAAACTTAAACAGGTGTCCATGAAGTGAGTTATCTTCACTTCATGTCTATTAGTTTGTTAAGAAGAAACCTCTTTTCACTCTGGATGCTGTAATTAGATAACCTGAACAGAAGACATGCCTGTCAATAGGTCCACACAGGATCTTCATAGCATTAAGGTCCTCGGTTTTAAAAATCAGACTAATATCGGTGAGGCTCAGATCCACAGAAAATTGGAATGTGGTTTATTGAGAAAACAAGAGAAGTTTCAATTTGGCATGACCAAAGTAAAAGTTCCATAAGTGGCAACCTTTAGAGTAATGGGGGAGACAAAAATGGTGTTCTGTGTGAGCAACCGCACATTTAAATCCAAGCATTGCTAACCCCTGGGGAACTTTCCCATAGCACATCTCATATCACAATTTTTAAAATGACAAATGCCTCATGCCTCGATACCTTAAACCTAGACACCACCAAACTCCTACTTGAAAAATTAACTTATCTAGTTCTTTGATGTGTTATTTCCACTCATGCTTAGTGGAACAGGACAAAAAAATGTCAAACTTTATATAGTTTTTTTTATATTGGCAAGGAGATGAATGCTAATTTTAACTTATCCTTTTATTCCCAAGCCCCAGGTTTCTAATGCCTCTGAGATTAAAATTAACAAACATTCTTTGTTTCCATATTAAGAATGATTCTGCAACAAAATACTCAAAAGACAGTCTAGAAACAGAGAAAAGACGCGATTCAGAGAAATCAGTTCGTCTGAGCACACAGGTGAGCTGACCTCTTTATAGGTGGTGAAAGAATTAAAGAGCGGAAAGCAAAACAGAAAATATGAGGGGGCAGGGAGTTCTGGGAGACTGAGCTGTTGAGGTTTGTATTAAGGGATACCCAGTGTCCTCACGGAGAGGTGAAGGAAAAGCTAGGAGAAGGTGGCCCTGCCTTCCCTCCAGTACACATCCCCACGTTCACACAGAAAATGCGGTGTAGGAACCTCAGCCGTCACCTCTGCTCAGCCTGTGGGAGGAGACTGGTCTTTGTTCAGGTCAGGGAGGGAAGGGGAGTCTGGCCATCGCATTGACCATTTTCTGCACAATCTTTCAGATGAGGCGTGCAGTCAATCCGAATCACTGGCTGAGATGTTGCCCCATGCGTGGCCACCTGTCGTGTAGACACTGCCCTAGTGCAGCTGAGGGAACAGTCCTTCTTGGCCCCTGCCGCACAATACGTATTTATATTCACATGTGCCTGTTTTGGGAACAGGGCCACCAGATCACCATGATCAGGGTGAGCAGAGATCAAACTACTGATTTTGTAGGGGAGCCACAGTCAGTCTGGGGGAGGGGAAGGATATGGGGCATAGGAACTTGTCCCCTAGCCTCTCCACTGTGTCCGTCAATGTTGTTCCTCCCGGAGGCAATGCTGTTCCCTCCTACGCAGCTGCCTTGGAGCCCCACTGCACTCTTGTTTAGGTACCAGCTGCCCTCATCTTTATAGTCTGGTCAAAAATGATGGATATGTCTGTTTAGCAAATGTCAATGGGCTTATCCTTAAAGCAAGACATGGGGAAAGAGAGAAAAAATGGTCAACTTGATCAACTAGCATGTAAGAGTGACAGGTGAAAAAATATCAGATATCCGATTTGTTTCTTGCTTTTGAATGCTCCTCCGTGAAGTGAGGACTGGGCCAGAGCTAGACTGGCACACAAAGGCCAAGACTGGATTAAGGGCCACAGTGGCCAGGGATCTTCTCAGTGGGTGCTGCTGTGTTTAGCCTGGCAGGGCTGTTCTGTAGGCACAAGCATGGGAAGAGCGGGTGGTGGAGTGTTAAACCCCTGGGTCTCTTCTCTCCTCAAAAGGGATCACAAGAAGTACTGCCAAAGACAGATTCTCGAGGGAACATCGTGCGAAGTCAGTGGTCCGGGACTTCACGGAACACAACCACCAGAGCCACCTCGTTAGACGAGCCCAGAAGCAAGACCAAGGTAGAGGTGGAGAGGAAAGGGTGGAGTACAGCATAGCATAACAGTAAGCGTAACAACAGTAAGGCTCATGACGGTGGCTAACGTTTAGTGATGCTTTCTGTGTGCCAGCCCCTGTTCTATGTCCTTTACATGTTTTAGCTAATTTAGCCCTCACGAACCCGCCCCCCCATAAGCCCTATTTTACAGCTGAAAAACATACAAAATAAATTGCCTAAGATTTCACATTAATAATGCTAATAGAGCTAGGTATACACTTAATGATTAAACTCCATGGTTTCTCACCCTTCCTTCCTTCCTTCCTTCCTTCCTTCCTTCCTTCCTCCCTACCTCCCTACCTCCCTACCTCCCTACCTCCCTACCTCCCTACCTCCCTACCTCCCTCCCTAACTATTGAGTACTCAAGACTAAGGGGTGTGTGTGTGGGGGTGGAAAGGTCAACAAAGATGATAAATTGTTGAAGAGTGTTAGATTGTGTAGCACTTTGGGGCCTTAAGTAAGCCTGGCCACATGAGAAGTAAAAGTTTTAAGATTAAGTTTTTGGTTGCAGAGAGAGTGGCACAGATCCAGTCACTGGGAAAACACGTGTTCCTGCCAATCCATCTGTCTCTGTGAGGACTGTCTCAATAATCTAACCAAGAAAATGCCTTTCAAAACACGGGAAACTGTCATAAAAATGGAAATAATATATGGATGTTTAATGACTTCGTGCACAGCTTAGTTCAGGGTCCTTTCTCTAGGGTGGCTCCTTCCTGTGTAGGAAGGTGACTCCCTCCAGGGGAGCTCCGCGGACACACAAAGCCCTGAGGGCACAGGGCTCCAGCCTTGCCGGCTCCCTGTAAGTCCCTGCCTTAGTCTCAGGGCAGGCTTGGAGAGGGGCACCTCCCAGGGGTTCTGTGGAGTGTTCTGGGGATACATGGGGTCTAGGTGCTCATGGAGCTAACTGGGGGTCACTGATGCAGGCAGCGGCAAGCAAGGCCCCTTACTCAAGTTGCCTGGAAGTCTCTAACTGGGCAGGTGTACAGACAGAAGTCAAATGACCGAACTTTGCCAACTGTGTGCCATCCCTCTAAGGGCAAGAAAGAGGGCCTGTGCCCAGCTGCTCAAAAAAAAGTGTGACATGCTGATGGGGGAGCAGGGCGAGGCTAGGGGGCAATGAACACCGCCCACCGTGTCTGAGTCCATTTAACCTAAGTGTCCAACATCTGGAGCCTTGAAATGTCTGCGCCCCTTTGGGCCCCGCCTAGGAGCTGAGATGAACCAGGATCCAATCAAGGGCTAGGAATGGAACAGAGGAAAGGGGACAGCGCCCCACCTCAGCTGGAGAGGGGGCAGGGAGCCCGGCGCGCAGCTCAAGCGCCCGTCTCCTTGCCCAGGTCCCCACCAGCTCCACCACCTCGCGGACCTCGTCCACCTCGCCCAGCCAGCAGGCGTCCCAGCAGGCGTCCCAGCTCGAGCTGTCCGAGCAGACGTCCCCGCCCCCGCCCGTGCTGCACA